GGGGGGGGGGGGGGGGTGGCGTGCAGGGAGTGGGGCTCTGGTGCTGGGTGCCTCCTCGGGGACAGCGGGAGGGTCACTGCCTCAGGGGCATTTTCAGGGTTGGGACTTGTGGGTCTTCTTTTCTTTTCTTTTGTTTCGGCCGCGCCTTGCAGCTTGTGGGATCTTAGTTCCCGACCAGGGATCAAACCCACGGTCCCTGCATTGGAAGCACGGAGTCTTAACCACTGGACAACACCAGGGTAGTCCCACGTGGATCTTCTTTTCGATGTGCTTTCTTGGCTGGGGCCCGGGAAACAAGTGCTAGACCTTGCTAGGAACTGCAGTGACCCTGCACAAGTCACTGCCTCTCTGGGCCACAGTCTCCGGGTCTACACGAGGAGATAGCTGAGCCCTCGATGCTTCTAATTTCTCTGCGGGTACTGACAGACCTCAGACCTTACAAGCTTCTGTGATCTACTGGTCCTAGAATAAATCCAACACCGGAATTTCCAGTTTTCCGGCGGTGGGGGGGATTACACTGGGCCCCGTGGGAATCTGCTTCCTGATTTTCTTTCCCTTTTAGGGGCCGTAGGGCAGTTGTACCCACAGAGTCCCAGAAGAAACTTTACATCCCACTCTCATTTAGTTCCAAAATGAACTCGTTTCCAGTTTCTTTTGTGGGGGGAAAGGGGATCTTCAATTCCACTTCTGGAAGTATGCTGCGCCAAGTTTTCTTTTCACATTTCGGAGGCAAGGTGGGAAAACCACTGGATGTGACCAGTCCTTGCCCGTCCTCCTCCAAGTCCAGGAAGAGGTGGGGACAAACGGTGGAGACCGGGGTGGGAGTGGGGGGCTTCTACGCCTTGAGGTGATGGTGAGATCCAGCTCCCAGGCAGGCGAGGGAGGTTCTGGGCGCCCCCCTGCCCAAGCTCTGCTTGAGGGCGGGGCGGGGTGGGGTGGGGGGCGGGCGGGCCCTGAAACTCTGAACCTTGGCCCCGGGCAGAGAATCTGCCCAGCAAATTGGCCAGATTTGGGTACACTCATGCCTAAGTGCCTTCTGTGAGCTGGAATTTCTCACTTGCTTTGGGATCCCAGGTGGAGGTGGGCGGGGTGCTTGAGTTCCGAGAAAACTGAGCCTCAGAAAGCTCCTGGATTCACAAATGGCCAATATGAGGTTGGAGCCAGGTCTTCTGGGTAGATGGCCCAAGGTTCAGTCCCCCTGCAGCATGCCAGTGAGATAGGTTGAATCACAGGAGACTGCTGGCTCTCATAGCACAGAGAGATCAGGTCGGTGCTTTGTGACCACCTAGAGGGGTGGGATAGGGAAGGTGGGAGGGAGACACAAGAGGGAAGGGATATGGGAATATACGTATGCATATAGCTGACTCACTTTGTTATACAGCAGAAACTAATACACCATTGTAAAGCAGTTATACTCCAATAAAGATGTTACAAAGGAAAAGAGAGAGAGGGAGAAGGCAGCATCTTAAACTCAAAAAAGAAACAAAACAGATTATCAGCAATTTCATGTGGTTCAACCTAATATGAATGGCAAGTGAAGGTGCCCTACCTGCTTTTCTTACTTGGGTTTGAAACAGTTTTCAGAACGGGTCTGAGGGACTGCCCACTCCTCCTCTCCTTGGACAAGCTCCCCAAACTCCACACCCCAATCTTGCCTCATGTACTCCCTCCCCCCCAGGAGCTGGCCTCAGACCCGGGCTTCCTGACCACTATGCTGTGCGGGCTGGGCGGCTTCTCGCTGCTGCTGGGCCTGGCTTCCCGCGAGCAGCGACTGCAGCGCTGGACGCGTCCCCTGTCGGGCCTCGTGTGGGCAGCGCTGCTCGCGCTGGGCCTCGGCTTCCTCTTCACTGGGGGCGTGGTGAGCGCCTGGGACCAGGTGAGGCAAGCCGAGCAGTGGGGAGGGGACTCCCGGGCCTCCAACGCGCACCCAGGCTCCGAGGAGCAGCGCAGCAGTGTAAGCGTGCAACTTCCCGCGCCCATCTCCCCCAGGTGTCCTTTTTCCTTTTTGTCATCTTCACCGTGTATGCCATGTTGCCCTTGGGCATGCGGGACGCCGCCGCCGCGGGTCTCGCCTCTTCACTCTCACACCTGCTGGTCCTCGGGCTGTATCTTGGGCCTCAGCCGGACTCACAGCCCGCGCTCCTGCCACAGGTGAGCACGCACGGAGCACAGGCTGCGTCCGAGGCTGGCTCCGCTGGGCGCTACTTGCTACCTGCGCATTCACCAACCGTTTGATGAGCTGTGACTCCAAGGCAGGGCGCAACGCTGGGCGCAGGGTACAAACACAGACCCCGACCGTGCCCTCGTGGAGCTGGTACAGAGCGCAGCGCGATGCCTGCAAACGCCAGAAGAGGGCTCTGGGCCCACGGGGAAGGGAGTTCGCCAGGGGACTGGGGTGGTGGGGACAGATGTGGATGACGGAACCATCACAGAGAATGTAAAAATTGGAGCTTGAGTCGTCGCCGTGCTGCGGCGCGGGTGGGGATGGTGGAGTAGTATTCCCAGCAGAGGAAACGTACGTGCCGAGGTTTCTAGACCTAAGAGGCCGTGTTGGTGCAGCAGCCAAGAGTCTCCGCGGGGCGGGGCGGGGGCGGGGGCGGGAGGAGAAGTGCCCCCTCTGGGTCCCACAGTGTGGCACCCGTTGCCTCGAAATACTTCGGTCTCTTAACTGCAGAGTCCTCCTCAGCCCTCTCAGAGACCAACCTAGCTACACACAATAGCCCCCCGACCCCGGAGCCCAGCGCCCCCTGAGGCTGACCCTCCCCCACAGCTGGCGGCAAACGCCGTGTTGTTCCTGTGCGGGAACGTGGCTGGAGCATACCACAAGGCGCTGATGGAGCGCGCGCTGCGCGCCACGTTCCGGGAGGCGCTTAGTTCCCTGCACTCCCGCCGGAGGCTCGACACAGAGAAGAAGCACCAGGTCCGCTGGGCCCGGGAGGCCGGGAGGGACCGGGGCTCGGAGAGAGGAGTTGTTTAGATCACACAACCGGGCTCTGGAAGCTGAATGACTTTGGGAGGGTCGCTTGACCTTCTGTTTCCTCCTTTGTAAAATGTGGCTAACACCCACCTTGGAAGGCCGCTGTGAGGCTCAAGCAAACTGAAGCTTGTGAAAGCATTTTAGAACGTTGTGATACTAAACGAAGGGCTCTAACTCCGGTATTGGTGCTGGAAGTTCAGTCCCTAAAGGTGATCAGTGCAGGGCAGGGGTGGAGCCAGGCTGTAGGTGGTGGGGAGGACCTGGGCCAGCGCCCTGGGAACACCTCTGGGGCTTCTAAGGGTTTGGGGGGACTGAGGCTCCTGGTTTTAGGGGTAGGAGTGTTGGTGCTTATAGTCACCTCCCTCAGGAACACCTTCTCTTGTCCATCCTTCCTGCCTACCTGGCCCGAGAGATGAAGGCGGAGATCATGGCACGGCTGCAGGCCGGACAGGGGTCACGGCCAGAGAGCACCAACAACTTCCACAGCCTCTATGTCAAGAGGCACCAGGGAGTGAGGTATAAGGAAGGATGGCAGATGGGAGGGAACGTGGGCTGAGACCCCAGCCCCACTGACGCAGTCTGCCCTGCCCAGCGTGCTGTATGCTGACATCGTGGGCTTCACGCGGCTGGCCAGTGAGTGCTCCCCTAAGGAGTTGGTGCTCATGCTAAACGAGCTCTTTGGCAAGTTCGACCAGATCGCCAAGGTCAGAGGGGGCTTCCTTCCCCACCTTCAAACTCCCCACCCTGGAGAGCCCCTTCCGAGGGAAAATCCTGCCTCATGAGATCCCAGTCCCACTTCCAAGTCCATGTGGGCTCCCAGATACTCCCCTGCAGGTAGGAAACCCTCTCAAATCTCCCCAGGTATGGAACTGCTCACTGCACACCTCAAACCTGGAGAGACCTTTCAACATCCTCACAGATGCCCCAACCA